ATATGAAAATATTTTTATTTATAACTGTATTAATTAATTTATTTATAATTATTAAAATATTTTATTGTTTAAAATGGTTTAATCACCAAATAATTGCAGATATGTAACCAGTAGCACCTGAGGGTGGTGGGGGCGTGAGGAGGAAAACAAACAAAAACCTTAGTGAAGCATTTTTGCCTTCCAGGTTCAAAGTGTTAGCCAATCAGTACAAAGCAATATATCCTACCTTAGAGATAGATATTGAAGGGGAATTGAAAAAGCTCAAGGTAAGCCTGCTTCTGTCTGGTAAATGATATAACCACTGTGTGCTGTTACTGATATGTAAATATCTTGGTGACTGATGCTTGTGCTTGTGTGAGGAGTTAAAACATAATGCATATCATGGGAAGTTGGTATGTATCAATTTTGAAGAGTCCCCTAGCATCCTTAAAGACACTTTTGATCCTGCTTTATGCAACATTTCAAAACTTGGTTTCAAGAGAAATACTGTAAACTTTAAGAAAAAGGCTTGCATAGGGAGAGTTATTTTTGACTTCCACTTGCTCGAATGTGCTGGCTAGAATATTAATTCTTTGTGTCAGAAACTTAAGAACTGAAGTAAATTATTATTCTAAGTAATAAGCCTTAAGGAAAAAAAAATACTAACAACATAGAAGAATGTAAGTTGAACAATGAACAGTTGAACTAATGAAGCCTGATTGCCAGCAAACTAGTCTTGTAGTTAATTATGAATTCTGATTTGATGTTTTCCCTGCAGTTGGGACAGTTGTGAGATTTCTCACTAGTATTAATACTCTTATGCCTAATAGTGTGATTTCTGTGGTGCACTCAAGTTCTTATTTGAAAAAATTGTCCGGTGTCTTACCCCTACCCAGCCTTGTTGTTCATGCATTTTATAGCAACTTAATCATATGACACATTTCTTTTACCCCTTAGAAAACTTCAGCTGTTGACGTATGTGTGGAAAGAGGAGGCTGTGCACAGTTACATGTTTAATTCTTTCAGAAAATCAGGCCAAAGAAATCATCCTTCTTGTATCTTTAGTTGCCACTGAACTCAGTTTACCAGCTGTAGAATGGAAGTTCTTAGTACTTCTGTTTGTCTTACTTTAAATAATATCTGTTGCACTTGTTGAGTTGTAGTATTTTCATCAATGTGTAGACCTAAAAATCAGTTACAGTTGAGTGTTTTATAAGGCTTTATAGTTTACTTAATACACATTAGGATTACAGAATGTCTGAAACTCATTGTTACGGTGGAAACACAATTTTTCTCCAGCTACAAATACTTATTAGTTACACTTAATGTTTGTTTTATGCTAATGCACTTGATTAAATTCTGAAACCCAAAGCATTATATTTCATGTGAAGTCAATTATTAGAATGAGAAGTTCCATATGTCTTAAGTGGGGAAAAAGGCTGTGTACCAGGTGTTCATCTGAACATTACTGGCTTCTTACATCCAGCTGTTCAGTGGCATTCAGGCACTTGACCCTTAATTCCAATAGGTAACTTTTTACTTATACTTACAAACAGACCTGTATGTTTAAACTAATGCTGCTTTACAATTGCGTGCATTTGTTGGCTTCAGATGGCCAGAAGTGGAACTCCCCACGTGCTGGTTTTGGAGGAGAAATTTTAAATACTTGGAAATGAAATACTGAATACAGTAAAGTATTGTGGTTATACTCAGACTTGAATATTTCTGAAGCATTTCAAAAGTTTGGAATTTTTTTCCTTTTTTTTCTCCCTTTCTTTTTCCTCTCTTTGTTTCCTCCTAGGAAGAGCATACATGTCTGTTGTGTAAATCTGAGTCTAATATTCTTCCTTCCCTTGTTCATATATTAGGGCATATTTAACATTTCTTTGTTTGCTTTTCCTTTTCAAAAGAAATAAGAGCATTGTTATGAGAAAGCAATAGCACTTGTACTCTGGCTGGCATTATCATAATGAAATTATACTACAAATAGTCTTTTGTGTTATTCAGGGCTGCATGGAAAAAATAAAACCAATGGTAAGGGATGGTGTTTATTTCATGTATGAAGCTTTACATGGACCACCAAAGAAGATCTTAGTAGAAGGTGCAAATGCAGCACTGCTGGACATAGATTTTGGTAGGTATAACCTTTTTGAGACACACATTGTTATATACTTATGTTGTGAAAGAGGAACATTACATATAAGCTCTTCCGTGCTTAGCTGTTCTTATGGCAGAAGTGTTTTCTATTTTGGAAGAACAGTACTCTATGGCTTGCAATTAATTAGGGGGAGGGGAAGTATTTAATTCTTTCAAAAAGCTTTAGACTCTCCCAACATGAATTATTTGAATGACAGTAAAGATCAGGTGACTTTTCTTAAATAGAGTGTAGTTATTACTTCAGTGTCTATAAATTTCATATGAAATAACTCACAGTAGTATACATCTACGGAAAACACTTGAGAAGAAAAATGGAGAGCTTTCAGAGGCAAAGTATATATGCTTCTTGTTGACTTTTGAAAAATCAGCTTGCTTTTTTTAAACCCTTTATATAAATTTTCCACTGTTTCACAATGTAAGGAAAGATGTTGGCAATCTGGATTGCTAATGAGGCAAGAGTGAAAAGATTATCCCAATTAATTTGAAATTATCAATGTTGCAGTTTTTCTTAAAACACTGTAATTCTGTTAATGAAATTAGAAGCTTCTTGATAGAAGCAGCTTTTTTTTTCTTTTTTAATGAGATTATTATGTCTGTTATCACTATATTGTAAGGACAGATAAATTATTATAGGTATAAGCAGGCTATATGATTGGCTCCTGCATTTTGTCATGTTTTTCTTCAGTCTCACTAGCCTTGTAACTGCATCATTTTTATTGTTGGAAAGATGCTTAAGCCTGAAATTGAAGCCTGTGAAGACCACTGTTAAACAAATACAAAATTGCTTCCACCTGATAGGAGTTCCAATATTGGGCATTTTCAAACACGTTGAGTTCGAAAGCCTCTTTTTTTAAGAGAAAGATAATGTTTAAGACTAGTCATCGTAAGTATGAGCACCAGGTTTTCCCATGATAATCTGAATATTGGAAGAAACTTCCTTTTTTAACAGGTCAAAAAAAAAAAAAGGAAAGAAGTCTTCAGATATGCTTGTCACAGGGAAATGTTTGATGCAAAACTGAGATATTTGCAGAAAACTCTAGGGGAGATTGGTTTTTTGTAAGTAGTGCAGTCCATCCTGATTTTCAGCTCCCATGTGCATGTGTCTGGGGGTGTGGTCTGCTGTGGTTTTAAACACTGAGTGAGGATAATAAACCTATGTCCGGGCTGCGAGCTGAAAATGAGTGAGAGTTGTCTCGTTGACTCTGTGACATCCACTAGCTATATTTACCTGTCAGTAAAGAAAAGCTCAACTACTGTCTCCTAAGAAAGATAAAGACTACTTAGTACTTGCAAACTGCTGTTACTATCACCTGTAAGCATGTGTCTTGAGAAATTTGAGTTAAGCAAAAAAAGCTAGAGATACCTGAAGCTAGTCTGCAAAACCTCACTGAACAGTCTCTGAAGGATTTGGACTTCTTAAAGTTGTCTGTATTGCTTTCAGATTCTTCTTTCTTGGCTGTTCCTCTTACCCATCTCTGACTCATACCAAAATAAAAAAAATTAAAGTCTGAAGCATGAGGTAGAAGTCTCTTGCTTATAAGCAGCTGTGTGTGCCTGAATCATTTGTTCACAATTCGTATCAACTAAGGAATGGCACGCTCTGTTTCATTTTCCATCATTTGAAAAAAAAAAACCCAGAGTGTAAACCTAAGTATTTCGCGATTTTTCTTTTATTTTTGCTGGCCAGGCTGCTTTTTAAATGAGGGCTGAATATTTAACTAGAGACAAACTCTCACCACTGATGAACTAGACTGTATTCCAGGAGTCTTTTTTTTTTTTTCTTTCCTTTAATTGTGGAAATATTTTTTAATTTGATTATGTAAATAAAGTTGTTCTTTCCAGAATTCTACATTTCTTTGCAATTTCTTATCCTTATAACGTGCTGACCAGTTTGTAGAGCTTGTATTTTATTTTTTCATCCAAAATGAAAAATAGTAAACCTGTATTTTCTAATGTTTTAATACCTTTTTTTCTTAAGAGTCTCCCTTCATATTTTCACATTGTTCTATTACTTGAGTGTATGTTGTATGAGATAGCAAGGCGTGGTTTTTTGGTGTCTTATTCCAATTTTTGACTTGTACGATCATTCAGAGTTGTTACGTAGTCAACTTTTTCCTCTGTACCAGTTGAAGTAAGTGGTAAGACTTCTACCTTTTTCAATAAAGAAGGATCAGACAATGTACATATAAAGCTAAGAGCTCATTACATATGTTCTTGACCACAAAATACATTTGTTCTGTGTTTTGTTTTAGTTCTTAGGGTTGTAAAATCCAGGTAAGTGCAGTGCAGGTACTGTTTCTCACCAGGTTAGATTTTTTTTTTTAAATAGTTTAAAACCAATGTTTTAATAAGGTTTTTAAACCAAATTTTTTTAATAGGCACATATCCTTTTGTGACTTCATCAAACTGCACAGTTGGAGGTGTGTGTACAGGTCTGGGCATGCCACCGCAGAATGTTGGGGAAGTGTATGGAGTTGTGAAAGCATATACAACGAGAGTTGGAATTGGTGCCTTTCCTACAGAACAAAATAATGTGAGTATTTTCAGCCTTAGATGTGACCTGTAACTGGATGAAATAACTTGGTGTGTTTGTCCTATCTTGAATCAGTGTTACTAGTTAAATGCAAGTAGATGACAGTGTATTTGGATGTCTCATTCTTCTAATTCTAGACTGAGCTTACAGGACTGCCATATCTGATTGTCTGTTTCTCAGGCTTTCCTATGGAATAGAAAGTTAGAGCAGGAACTAATGTTGAGAGATTTGCTCAAATAACATTCTCTTTAATCAAAAATAGTGTTTTGTATTTGTATTTTCATCCCAATGGACAACTGTGTGAAAAATTAGGGGAAGAACTTTTAAGGTAACTTACAATACTGTAAAATGTTAAGTATACACCTGCATCATGTATTGCAAATAAAATTTTAAAAAGGCTCATGTAATAGTATTACTCTTTGCCAGGAAATTGGAGAACTGCTGCAAATGAGAGGTAAAGAGTTTGGTGTTACTACTGGTAGAAAGAGAAGATGTGGCTGGCTGGACCTTGTGTTACTCCGATATGCCTACATGATTAATGGATTTACCGCGTGAGTTATTTTGACGGCTTTGCTGGCAACTAGACATAAAATCATGAAATGTTACAGATTACTGTAAATTGTACATATACTAGTTAGTAACATTCAGACTGTTAACATTGATTTGTTGATTGTTTTGATATTTTGATAAATTAATTGTCCCTCATTTTTTCCTAGCATTAAATGTTTTCATGTTTGATATTTTCATACTCATAAATTTTTCTTTCCTTTACTTGTAGCACATTGTTATTTCTCATTTAAAATGATCCGAGAAGCCCTTATGTATCTTGGTACTTAATTGGTGTTGCAAGCTACCTTAACGCCTGCCATCCCACCAAATCAAATCAAATGCATTATAGGGACCTTAAAACCTGATAATAATTTGTGGGGTTTTGTTTTGTTAGTTTGCTTTCAAAATAAGACAGCTGGGAACCCATCACTATCTTCAGCAGTACCTGTAAATGTAAAAAACTTGGGTATGGCTCTGGGATTTTAATTAAAATGAAAAATAGGTGTCTGAAACAAAACTCACATAAAATTTCTAGTAGATCAAACTGTGTAAATACATCCTTTACTTAAGTTTTCCTGGTTTCTTGTCCTTTGTAAGTTTTATTTAAAATAGCATGCAGCCAGGTATTTACAGAGCCAGTGTTTGATTATTTTGCTACCTTCACTGGAATGTTTGGCAGAGGACAGGAACAGACAGCAACAGGCATGGTGCTATGAAACCATCTCAAATGAAGGGTCATAAAGTATCTTGGCAGCACCCTGACCAATTAAAATTATAATACTTAAAGTTACAGATCTGTCACTTTAATTGGAGAATACCTGTCCTTTGAATTTTGCCATTTTCTTATGGTATTAGATCTAAGGACCCAACAAAAAGGATGTTTACATTTGGTTGTTTTTGTTTTGTGATAATTTTTTTTTCCTTAAAGTCACACCAGATAAATAGATTAGTACCATACTAGCTATCTGTCTAAGGAAAGACAATCAATTGCAAAGTGCAGGAATCTTTTTTTTTTTTTTTCTTCAGTGTGATGAGAGTTGTTAAACTTGTTTAACCAGAGTAATGTTTCTTCATAGATTGGCGCTTACCAAATTGGATATCTTGGATGTATTTCCAGAAATCAAAGTTGGTGTTGCATACAAACTAGATGGTGAAATCATACCTCATTTTCCTGGTAAGACTGATTGTTTAACAATTTTAGATCTGGTGAAATGTAATCTGATACTTAAATGTATTTGACTTTTATTTGTAAAATATGACAGGAATGTGTTACTTCAGCATCAAGCCATTAATGTCCTCCCAGATGCATCAGAGACACCCTATACCACACCTGTACCCATACCCTAAAGACACCTGTACCGAATACTGTCATTTGTCTACAAGGAAAATGCAAAGTGCTACATAAAGCTTCTTAAACATAAATGTTTACTGCTTTATCCCTTTCCTTGAATACAGCCTGCATTGCCTTCAAGCTAAATTGGAAATCATTTCGCACTCTAAACCCAGTGTCTTATTCCCACTACTGTATTCATCCCCTCTTTTAGCAGGACAAGTCTTCATTTCAGCATGTGGTGAACCACACAAGAGACCTGATTGGTTTGAAAAACTAGGTTTTTCTCTCCCCGTGTTGATTTTCCTACAGTTCATTTCCCTTTAATGGTTCACAGAGCAGCCAAAAACCTGTCACACCTAGGAAATGGAAAAGAAGGAAAAAGGGTGGGAGAGGAAATGAGCAATTAGGTGAAAGCAAGGCTATTTTCTAATGTAGGACCAACATGCATCAGCTAAGCATGACAAGATTTATAGTTTCTGAGGAGGACAGGGGTCATTTTAGTGATAATTTTTACCTGAAGAATGTATCTGCATGTTAAAATATTGAACTATCACAAAATGTTGTTTTTATGGATCGTGTGTCTTTTTTTAGTTTGCTATAGTAGAGATACCTGCAGAAAAAGCAAGAACATTGACCAGTACTAAAGATTGGGCTCTCTGATTTTCTAATGTGTGTATAAATGCCTGTTTCCATTCTAATTGCTACATCAGGGTTTGAGGCTGGTCACAGGTTATAATTTTTCATATGATATCATCAGCAGAGAACTTTTTGTTGAGTGAGGAGATCAACTGTAGTAATCAGATACAACTCACAGCAGGATTTATGTAGTATAAAGGTGTAGTTATGTATAAAGGAATAAGTGATGATCTGCCAGTAGTCCTTGAAAATAGCACATACTTGTTAGGAAAGTTCATAAGGAATTAACAAAAAATCTTCTGTTTCTCCATGTGCTTGGAGTTCTTTAATTGATTTGCCCTCTGGTATCTTCAAACAAAGGTGCCAGTTACAATCTGAATGCATACTGAATGACATCACATGCACTCCTGTTCAGGAAGTTGAGTACTCATCTTGTACTAAACCAAGGAATGCTTTTTCCCTTTTAAGACTCAGATATTCCCTAATTACTGCCCTTATCAAAATATTAAGGAAATTATTGTGTACTTTAGATGGCCTTTGAACATAATGGAGATTGCACGTTTGAATTGAGAACTATTCAGTAAATGCTTCATCTGTAGCCCTGTCATCTAACCTGGGGGCTATTTGGACTATCTTGGTGCTCACGCCAGGAGGACCTTCACTGGCAGTCCATCATGAGAGAAGACATAACCAGGTGGCCATGTTTTCCGGTACTAAGACTTCAGTGATTACTCTCTCCCCCATTCATTGTGTCTCTCAGATGGGACCAGAATCTTGTTACAGCTCCTGAGGGCCGAGTTTGCTCCCTATATATGCCCAAGTAACAGGTAGCTGGCCTTTGGTCATAGCAGCACAACATGGCTCACCTGTCTAACTGTATTTTTCTTTACTGTATGAACAATTGAGAATTCTGGTAGAAATTTAGTAGAAGCTGTTGTCTCTGCTGTTGACATGCTGTCTTCCTTAAGTGTCAGGAAGCAGTTTGAGCTGAACTTCTGGTAAGCTGGAAGATGCTGTCTCTCACAGTGCCTCCATGTTCCACACCTTTCTCTTTGCTATACTCCTCAACATTTGGCAGCACTTTCAGCACATATGCTGCAGGTTACTTATTACCCCTGCCCCTGGCATAAAAACGCAAAAGGTAACTTTCTTTCCACTTCGTATTTTGCATACCATTAGATTATTTCTGATGCGTACATGTCTGTGTGCTATGCCCTTGTATAATTTAGTTATTTTTTTTCTTACGCTTGCCACTTAGACATTTTGAATTTAATTTAGAAGAGATCTAGTCTGGGAATCTCTGGCTGGCAGGGTATTTCTTTTTCTCTCCCCTCTCTACCCTCCCACTCTCTTGGAGATGTTAGTGATTTACCCGTCTTGTGAAATGACTGTCTCTAAATTAGAAGCACACACAGTGCCCACCATCTCAGGAAAAACATGCCATATTTCATATATTGTTTCTTTTTCCAGCTGGATCAGAGAACCATGAGAGTCTCACTCAGTTGTTTTAGCTTAGATTTCTGTGGGCATTTCATAATCTCCTGTTAAGAAAGAACTGAAAACATCTTGTAAGTTTGTGGCTGACCTCCGTTGGTATCACTGAGGTTGTAGTCTTTTGCTATGGAGCTGGCCATTATCTCCATTTCTGTTGTCGAGTTTATGAAAGAAAGCTAGAACTCCCTGCTAGCTCTGAGCTGATCAGTTTAAAAGGAATGTGAAACCCATGGTCTAGTCCTGCTAGTGCCTCCTGTCCCAGTTCAGGCGTCAGTTGATCTCAGCAGCCAGACATAACCTCCAGCTCAGGAGACTTTGAAAACAGAGGTGCTTAGGAAATTGGGAGATTATTTTGGAGAAGCTTTACTTCATGCTCGTTTTTTTTTTTTTTTT